TGATGGTAGGGCGGGGGAATTAGAACTGGATATTGTCAAGAGGAACTGGCCCTTTTAATTAGCTACTGGAGATATTGGAGGTTACTTTCTCCTCCTTAATGCTTTCCAGGTCCGAGTGGCATATCATTCATAAAAACCCAGCACCGAATTGTCACTTGTGAAGGAGAAGGAACATCTTCAAGAGAATCTAGAATCAAACAAGATCTAATACCTGCACCAATCATTTAGTTTTGCCACTCGATTATTTCAATTGCGGATGAGTTGGGGGGGTGGTGGTGGAAGGAGAGGGGAGCCCTCAATCAAAATGCTCAGAGATCCGGGGGGGGCAGAATCGATGGGCCGAATGGCATCCTGCACCTTAACAATTTGCCTCTTCCATCCATCTCCCATCAGACTAAGTCTTGGAGTTACACAATCAGAAATTGCTGGAAAAGCTCAGCAGGTCTGGCACACTCTGTGCAGAGAAAACAGAGTTAACGTTTCAGGTCCGGTGACCCTTCCTCAAAACTCGGTTCTGACCCCAGACGCTGCCAGACCTGCTGAGCTTCTCCAGCAATTTCCGTTTCTAAAAGTCTTTGAGTTGTTTAGGAAACATATCTGTCTCTCCTTTCAGCGTTTGCAAGCAATCGGTGAGGGTTTGAAACCTGGTGGTTGTTAAAATGTGTGCAAACCAAACTGTGGAGGTACCTTTACTCCCATCCCCCAACACAAACCCCCACCCCCCAACACACACACACACATACCTTTCCATCAGGAACCTACCTGCCAGGTACCTGAAGGGATATCAGCGAAACTGCTCAGACCCCCAAAGGTGTAGCAATTGTAGACACTCTCGGAGCAGTACCAGAGCAGCCCGAAGCTCACCGACTCTTTGCTCTTCTCCCTGACGATCCAAGCGGGGGAGATGAAGCTGAAACTGCAAACTGCCACCAGGCATGAAGAGAGCAGCACCCACATGCAGCCCACACACGTCCACATCCTCTGGGGCTGGCCGAGCAAACTGTCCGCTGGCATCTCCACCAAGCCCAGCTCAGCACCCACTTCCTTCTTTTTCCGATCCAACAGCGAATGCATCTGGAAGACAACTGATACTTTGTGTGGCTTCTTTTGGGGTTCCTTCTCCAAACCACCCCCCCAACCTCTTCCCCTACAAACCCTAACCACACACCCACCCCCCTTCCCACCTCCCACTTATCAAATCAAACACTAAAGTCCAGCTCCGGAGTGAGATCTCTGGTCTGGTATCACGCACTTGGATCTGTCCCACCTAGATACTGTTAGTTTTCCCCGCCACC